CATTGGCCCCTTGTAGTGGGCTCCTGGGTTGCTTTTGCACTGAGTTTGTAGTTGGAGGAGCATTCCGTAACATTCGCATGGGCGGAGTCTCATGGGCGGTAGTGCTTTCTTCACCGGTGTGCCCCTCTATCTTTGCCAGGGACTAGAGGGTCCTTCAGTGAGAGAAGGGTCCTGGTTGGAGTGACTCCACCCATACGGTCAAAGCGAACATGCTTCCAAAGAAGTAGGAAGTAGTAGTCATCCTTCTTAGGAAGTAGTAGTCATCCTTCTATCTTGGAGGCTAGGGTTAGGCAAGGGTAAAGTTGCTATTTAGGCATAGTTTGGCTGGGGGGGGGCATTTTTGCACCTTTTGCACCCCCATATCGCCAAACTGCGCTTTTTCTGCTCCCAATAGGTAGAACTTCTTTAGAACGTCGAGTGTTTTATGCTTATGACCCTGAACTCAAATAGGCCCCGCAATCTTGTTTCGTGTTGATCATCAAAGAAATAGGCATATCCGACCGGTAGCTGGTTAATTGATAGTGACAGAAATGATGTTCAGCTGAGATTGGGCAGCTTTTGGGAGGCTTTAACTCAATTAGGTTAATAATGGGGCATCCCTGGAAGTTAAGAGACTTTCACTCAAAAAGAAAACTGGATCAACCCTGTTTGGTTGACATTGTTCACCATGGAGGGGGCAAAGGATTCCTTGTGCAGAACTGGTACTACGTCAGGTAGATAATAATTGTCGTCTTAGCCTAAGGAGGAAAGAAGCTGAGGTTTGGGTGAACCAACTTCTTTGAAGGGGATCTTGCGCAGCAGAAATCTCAAAGGAATTTTTCGTATGCCCCCGCTCCAGAAGAACAGCACGATCTTTTGTTTTGTTTTCTATTTTGTGTGTCTTCAGATGGAAGTGAATCGACGAGTTGTAAAGGGCATTCTACGTCCACTTGGTTTGAAAAAAGAACGTCGATGCATTGAATTTGATCCACTGGCTTTGATGCTGGATGCGGCATTGGAGGGCGAGTTGGATCTGGTGAAGTCGAGCGCGGCCAAGGTACGTTTATATAAGTTTTTTGATAATTAATTTATTCTTGCAGTTATATTTTAATCTGAAAATTGTATTATGGTAGAAGCTGAGTCAACCTGAAGTGCTCATGCAAACCGTAAAAGGCTCAGTCCACGCTGATCGTATGGGCGGAGACAGAGAACCGTCATTCTTTTCTTGTTGATGCTTTCCGTTTTCCAAAGCTAAAAGAAAACAGCTCCACCAATGAGAAAGGGGCGGTGATTTACATACTCCGCCATACGATCTGCGTGAAAGGTGCTCTTGATATTATTTTCCTTCGAGCAGTCAGGACACGTAATACTTCAGGGAGTTATTGTAGTCGCGGAATTACAGCATTACCGTAGCCAATTTATTTCAGTTGTCGGATGTCTCAGTGGCAAATGATGAGGGCATAACCGCTCTTCATAATGCCATTTGTGCAGGACATTATGAAATTGTCAAGGTGAGTGGAATACTAAACTAAAAGGCAAACTGCACGCTCGTCTCCCTGGATCCTGGTCCTGGCCATGTGTGAAAAGAATGGGTGCGCAGCTGCAGTAGGGTGCCACTTTCTCCTGTTTTACGCGGGAACGGGGTTGGAGGGCAGACATACCCATATGCCATCTCCCGGCTCTTACCACCTGCAAGCCCAAGCACAGTCAGAAGCGCTACTTGTCTGCACCATCTCATTTCTGGGTGTTCTCTATCCGCTTTTGGCTGTTTTGGACGTGTAGGTGGTCGCTGCGGAACCTTGGTATCGATGCAGGTGCTGCACATTAAGGATAGCGCGGACGAGTCCGGAGGCAGCGTCTGGGTATATTGCCACGGCCACGTTCCCGTGCCTTTTGAGGGGAGAAAATGGCACGCTTCTGCAGGTGTGGACTCATTCAGTGCGCACATGGCAAAGGCCGTCCTCGGAGGTGATTGTGCAGTTTGTCCTCAAGTTTCAGCTTCTTTCCAGCGATATGATACCTAATATTAATTGTTTTAGTTCCTCATCGAATCTGATGCGGACGTGAACGCTCAAGATTCCGATGGTTGGACCCCTTTGCATTGTGCGGCTAGCTGTAATAACTTGCCCATGGTGAGTCTAGATGTGTAATATATTCACATATTTATGAAGCTGATTTGGTTGACATTTTGGGCAAAAATAACAAATAGGAAGTCCCACTTTTTTGATTCATATTTTACTTCAGCAAACCAGGTTATTAGGGGCCACAGCGTTATCTCTTGTCACTTTTAGAAATGAAGCTTTCCAACTCAATTATTCGTGTTCCCCGATAATCTTTAGGCACTTCCATTACCACATTGTTGCTTAATTTTTTATTTCAAGGTTCGCCAATTAGTCGAAGGTGGTGCATGCGTACTGGCGTCGACGTTGTCAGACATGGAGACTCCAGTGGAAAAGTGTGAGGAGGACGAAGAGGGCTACGATGGGTGTCTACGCTATCTGACGTGTGCTCATAATGCCACAGGAACCATCAACAACGGAACGGTGGGAACTTTCAATAATCAAGAATTCGAAAAAATGTGAGCTAAAGATGGCAGAAGTGGTGTAATTGGTCCGCCTACCACTCACGCGGGGCTCTGGGGCAAAATCCAGGATCGACCGTCTTAGGTCAGCCTTTCACCTTCTGAGGACGGTGAATTGGTGCTAGATTCGTCTGGGAGGATAAAACACTGACTTGTACATCGGCTGGCCACCGCAAGTCATTGTATAGGCCACATCGCATTCAATGAGCCACTACGATTCTGAATGGAAGAAGAATGCTTTCCGTATCCCAATTGGGACTGATCAGCAGCCTGAGCCTCATGCTGCTCTTTTGAGACCAATAAGGGTATAGGTGGTGCAAAGGCAAATAGCTCCGCTTATATCGTATTCGACGAGGCAAGGATCGACTTTTACCAGTTCCAGCCATGCCGTTCATCCCCTAGGTGTCTAATATTTGACACAGTATTTCTCGGAAGGTAATGACACGGGCCTATGCGCAAATTGTACTCCGCAAGTCAGTGTATTAGCGGAATTGCATTCGGAACTTTGTTACAATCTCTTATGGGTGCGAAATGCGTGGCGCGTCCCGATAACGGGTTGATCAGTGCTAAAGGCTTTATCTTTTCAGCGAGTAGCTTTGACATGTTATCCACAGCGTCCGGATCCCTTTTTATTTCCTACCTCTTTTAACGGTCTACTTATTACTTCTGCTTGAAAGTGGCTCCCTCCCTAATAACCGTGTTCCAGGTTTATGCCGCATATGACTATGAGGCACAGTTTGAAGACGAGCTGACTTTCAAAGCTGGCGACGAGCTGCGAGTACTTAGTAAAGACGACAAGGAAAAGGTAAACTATTGCTTCTTCGCTTAAGAGCATGGAAAGTTTTTGAGGGCTTGAAGAAAACTCTTCGATGATTTCAGAACTGGTGGACATGTGAACGTGTAGGTCACGAAGGTGAAGTAGGACTGGTCCCGCGAACGTATGTCGCCCTCTATCCGGCTCTTCGATTCAGGAAGCGGTTCGTTTCTCATTTTACTTGACTTTAACATTCATTAATTCTAAACTTATAATTTTCTCCATAATCCTGTTTTTTTTTCTTTACCCAACACACGCTGCCCACTCTAGAGGGTGGGGGAGGGGTTAGCTGCGACTCAAATGAATCATCCGTTGCGATCGTGATCGTTAAGGCAGATAACCCCCTCATTGGCGCCTCTACTCAGAGAAATGGACGTACCGACGAAGCAGGCACAACGGCTCTCTGACTCCGCCCATCTGGTTACTCCGGAATGTGCCTCTGATAATTGAGCTGATGCAGCCTTGACTAGCCCAGAATTTACGGCCCAGAAGTTCGTGTGCAGGGGCTTGGGCAGATTCAGTCAGAGTCACAAGCTTACACATGTTTATGAGGAATAGGACGAACAGGTTGGGCTTTAGATGGGAAAGAGGGGTTGGGGCCTGCTAACTGTCACAACTTGAACCTAAAGACACACGTTGTGTACCGGGTCCAACCGATAGTGAGCTGAGATTTTCTTTCTCCAGAAATAATCCTAATTGTTGTTTTTTATCAACTACCACCCTTTTTTCGCTAGCCAGAGTTGCCTGAGGGCTGTTTTCAGGACCTCGAAGAAGATGAACGCATGGGCTGATTTTGTATTCATGTAAGCTCTATTGTGCGAGGGGGACACTTCGTAGAGTAGTCGTTTGTTGATGGGGACAATATACTGTTTTAGACGGAGCGTATTTGACTGAAATTCAGTTCTTTTGTTCGAGTTTGGACGTAAAGACTCGCAACCATTGCGAGAGCGCAATGGTTGTGAGTCTCCGCCCATCCATTTGTTGTGGAATATGTCTTTAACCGGTCATTGCATGGTTGACTTAGCCATTAGATTTTGATGTGCGGTTAAGTTCTGTACCCTTCCCTGATGCGAATCGTCATTTCATCAAGAATTTCTTTTCTTTTCAGGACCAACTTTATGATGTTCGAGCTACCGTTGGATCATTGGATGAATGATATGGACTAGGAGCCGTTTGGAACTCTAATGAATCCCTCGTCATCGGGTCTTTTCCTTGCAGTCTTTCACACTTCTTGTGACGTCATACTGATGTTACCACTAATTATTCACTGCTAATCGGTTTCTTTACTTGTCATGATTATATTTTACCCCCACCCCCTCGTCCTCCCCCTCCCCCAAGCGCTCACATTTAATCTTTTACATTGCAGATGTTCTATTAACATTTAGTTCTAATTATCATAATCTCGTCCGATTATGCCGAGAGAGAATTGCTCACTTGTATACTCTTACTACTCAACTACCGATACTAATGACACACTTTATTGCTTTTAACTATTATATAATAGATTAATGTTTTTATTAGGCCATATTATGTGTACATTTTACTTTGTATAGTACTTTTTGAGCTCTACGATGGAGATTTCTGTCCTTGTATGTGCTTTCATACTTCTCTCTCTTTCTCTGTTTCGTTTTCTTATTAATTCGGCACAGGTGTAGCAAAGGTGCGCAACGGTCCGTTGCCTGTTAGGACGTGTCCAGGCACATTGTTCAGTTGTGTGACGTCATTGACAGGTTATTGACATGTCTTAACAAGTAACGTATTGGGAATCGAATCTGTGCTAAACAACCATCCATAATATCCTTCAGTTGATCCCATAGTGAGCGCTTGTAGCACATCCCTCTGGCGAATACGTCACATTTTATTCGCCGTTGTCGTGTGTGTGTCTGAATTGGGTTGCGTTGCTCCTGCTCGTCTGTGATTCTCCTCCTTCGTATATTTGGCCTAAATGAATTGGCACATTGCTCAAGGCGTTAACTTTATCACATAGACGAATAAATTTGATTTAACGCCTCGATGGTTCACGCGTTTCATTAGCGATGTCGTCTCGGCACCCGATACTGCCATGTGAAACAATTGCAGGCAGCCTAACGCCTGAGCTCGTGCTCAAAGAGATCTATTAGTTGATTAAGGTGGTTAGGCTTGAGAGGAATTTCTGTGGAAGTGGAGTTACATAGGTCCTACACTTCGCAAGAGGTTGGAGTAACATAGGTCCTACACTTTCCAAGAGGTAAAGGCATAAATCACGATAATTCAATATTTCCTCAAAAATCGTGGCAGGGATGCTATATAGTGGGATAATGACTAAAAAGCGATGTTAAACGGCGAAAAGCCTGCGAAAAAAGCCCATTGTTTTGCACGGCATTGGAGGACGAGCTTTTTCGGACGAGTTTCCCGCTGGCATGGTGCCTACGACCGCTTTGGTAGATAAAGCTGCTAGTACGTACTCATATACTTCACATCAATTGCACTTCACAAATGAAGCGATAAGAGTAACAGCGATAAGAGTCGATGTGACTGTACGGCCATTTGTGGGCGGGCAGTTGCGATGGGCGTCTGGGTCGGCATGTTGCACCTTGGTTAGGCGCTATAACCGTGCCCTTGGCTGGAAAAGGCACTGTACAGCTTCTGCTAAAGTGAAAAATATTCTTTCTTGCTAGGCGTATCGACCCTGTAGGCCTTGTCGATTTATCGTGCCACTTGCCTTCAAGCTGGCTGACCTTGAGAGGGATATTTATGGAGATGGAAGTGCCTAGATCTTACACTCTCCAAGAATTCAGGCCACTCAGACTGTGAAATCGGACTTTACAGATACAGCTTTAGGGCAGAAATCTCTAGGTTACGTCACATAGCGCCTTTGGCAGCCGATGGATGTTCATGTGGATGTTTTCATCTTTCGAGGCAGAGTCTGACAGCAATTGAATGACTTCCTTAGAAGATTCCGTTGGTCGCGAGTAAGGAATCAAATCAAAGGCTGTGAAAACGTCAGATGACGCTCCTGACTAGTGCGCTACACAGGATAACAAGGTCAGAGCTGTTTATGTTGTTTTGTAGTAGATGTTGCTATTATGGGGTTCAGTCCGAATCTCATATCCGCTTCAAGCGCCTACGAGAGTGGGCTACAACTTCTACTGAAACCTACCCCATTTTTCGTCTTTTTTGCTTTCCTTTTCCTTTATAGTCCACGATCGACCCTCCTCTAGTCTCAGCATGACCACAGAAGTTCCGGGAAATGATCCTTGAGCGGTCTGAGTTTGGTATATACAGAACTCTATTCAGCTGAGGTTTCGGTAATAATCCTTCACTCGGGACTTTTTTAGGAGATGGAACTTTCAGTCGTCACTGTGGAACTTTTTTCTATGGTAACAAGGCACGTCGTACCCCAGCAAGGGAAATGTATTCGCCTTGAAAAGAATGTTTTCAATTGTTGGCTATTCTCGGTTTTTTTTTTCTCAAGAGCTCTATATTTCTGTGCCCGCTCAGC